TTCCTCACAGCCAAAAATTCGTTTCTAACAATAAATATGTAATTACTCAATTTATGCTTACAAAAAACAAATGCAGACTAAATTGCAGATTAAATTAAAGATTTTTTATAAGATGGAAAATATATATGTATGTGTGTGTGTGTGTGCTTACTTGTAAAATACAATAAGTTTATCATCAGGAGCTTTAGAACTTGGAGTCTTGTTGAGGCTTTTGACCAATAAAGCAATCTCTGGTAATGGACTTTGATAGGGTTGTGTTTGAATCCGGTTCCTCTTGGGTTTACTTGCTCCATCAGCAGCTGCAGCAGATGCTTTCAAATCTTTCAATTCTCTAGATTTTCGTTTAGTTGTCTTTGGAGAGGTAGTGACTTTTGCATCAGGTTTATATGTACTAATTAATGTTGTAGCAACATTATCGTTTGGTACTTTCAAACTCTGATTTGTAGGTTTGGCCTTTGGAACTTCATTCTTTGCTTGTACATCTTCTGGTTTGTGCGGAGATTGTTTTATATGTACAGGTGTATTAACGGCTTTGCCATCCGATTCTTTTGATCCATTATTTACAGGAGTCTTTTTTTCTTCAACTTTATTTTGTGCCGGTGTGCTGAGCGCTATAAAAATAAAGTTAATATTGCACATAAATATGAGTTTTGCATTTTGTCTTTTTTCATGCGCAATATAAGTTTACATTTAAATTTTGCCTTTATGCTTTAAATTTATACTTTGCTTATCATTTATACTATATTTTGTCTCCTATAATTATGTCAAATTTTATCTTATAATATTGCAAAGCAATTAAAGTACACAAATACATCAACATATATAGTTATAATACAAAATAAACAATACTGACAGTTATAAAATGTAGTTAAATAATATCTTTCTATATTTCTAATAAAATAATTTTTATTTACTCGCATTTGCAAATAATATGTTACTTACGAGTACTCAATGGAAAATCCATCAAGGATGTCAGAACTTGTTCCGGTTGTATTTCGCATGGTTCCTCTTGAGCAGGATTTTCAGGACTTAAATTGTTGTTTCTATTAGATTCATTTTGTTTTGTAACAGCAGGCACGTCTTGCTCGGTTTCCGTCTTTGTAATCTCCACACCGTTCGGAATCAATTTTTCAGTTTCTGGCTCCTCCACATTGCTACCGATGTATGGTGGTGTCTGATACACTGATGGTCTATGATCCTGTACCAGACTAAGCGGTTGACTGGGTGGTTGTAGGGTAACATAGCTCAGACCGGTTCCCGTCAAGGGTTTCATCGATCCGGACTCTGATCCTGGTACCACTTTCTGTGCCATGGCATTCATGGGAAGCATGGAGTAGCTGATAGAAGTTGGCGATGTTCCTATTCGAGGTATTGTTGATTTTAAGATTAATACATGAGCTATTATTCAATCAAAGAATAATCTTTCCC